ATTGCATCTTTGAAAGTGTTCAGGTGCTAGCAGAGCACTAGAGTTTGGCTATATATTCAGGACCAAGTGAGAGTTGGTGACTCTAAATAATAGTTCTAATAGGTTCGAGAATTTAAGTGCGGTGTTCAAAGATTTTGGGTTCATATGTGGCTAGGGACTGGGTTTTGTAGCAGAGTGTGAAGAACACTTGGGGAATTTCTATGTTATCATCGGGTCTACGGTGCATTGTTAGGGAAATGGGAGGAACAACTTTGGATTTGCAAGAGGTCTTCCAGAATGTGTGTATCAGTGGGAGGTACTATTGAGTGCATAAGGAGGTTATAAGATGGCTGATGGGTATTGAGGCGATGTGGTCTCGTGATTTGGGTCACTCGGGATGAATATTGTTTGAGGTCCATTATGTGTTTGAGTAGAACTATTATTCGAAGGCAAGTCAAGAGTAACTTGGTTTAAATTGGGCCAGTTAGCAAAAATTCAAACCAGCATGGTTGTGGAAATGATCAGTTCCTTCGATATGGTGAAGTATACAGGTGATCTGTGGCTGCACGTGCGGGCTTGACAGCAATTGTAAGCTTATTAATTTGGAAGTATTTGATTCTGATGACCTTGTTTTGTGTAAATGAATCCTGAAAGAATTATGGTGGTTTAGACCACAACTTGAGGTTTGATTTTCTACGGTTATGGGAATTAGGTGGCGTGCTGCAATTGTTCTTCTGAAATAAGTGGATTAAAAGGGGTTCTAGCCGACGAAGTGTTTATTCTACTGGTGGTTCAGGGGTTATGATGAAATTCTCTCGTAGCGGCATGTTAGGTGCAGTGAGCAGTAGGGAAATTGGGAGTTGAAGACCAAGGTTGCAGTTTGGTTTTGATAATAATGTCACGAGCTCGGAGGGGATGGGGAAGATTTCAGATGTTCAGAGTATGCTAGCACCAATTTCAGGCAGCCTAAGGATGTCTTGTTTTGTGGAAGAAGTGTCGGGTATAGAAATGCGGAAGCTTGACTAGCACTATGTAAATATTATGTTCGATGGCCATTAATGTTCAGATTTTACTACCTAGTGCGAATGGTTATGGGGGTACATCCCACGAGAAGATTGTATAAGCATGAAGTGCTAGTTATTCGATTGTTAGAGATTTAAAACAGGTATGGAAATTTTTGTACTGTCGCCAATGGGAGAGGTTATGACTGGGACGCGCTCTATTCCTTTGTTTGTGGACTATGTATTTGTTCCGGATTTGACGGCTGCTCTTATGTGTCATGAATAGGGTCATTGTGTATCCTTGGAAGGTTAGTGGCCCGGTATGGATGATCGGAGTCGGCTTGAGGTCCTCTAGTAGACTTAATATGAATGTATGCTCTATATCAGATAAGGTTAGATGTGTTCATTTAGCATAGCACTGATTCTGGAGGAGCTTTCGGGTGTTGGGCGTTATTCATGTCGTCAGCTATTCTCTGTAATACTATATTATGCCATACCGGTTGTGAGACAACTTGATTATCCGCACGTGTGTTGTGGTCTGGTGTAGCTTGTCGTTGTTGCACTTTAGTCGTGCTTGAGTTTTTGTAGTGCGTGGCGCTAACCATCTCCCCAAAGTCGTATTTATGCACTTGGCGTGCTTGTGGTCAATATTTGGGCATTCCATAGGTAGGAGCATTATGGCCCGATGGGTATTTCCTGATTGATTGTGATATGTGGATCGGGTGGCACGCCGCCATGGGTATGATATTTGGAACGGGTTGCATGCTGCAACAGTATCGTGTGTGGATCGAGTTGCACGCCGCAACAGTGAAATGTTGAGTACGATTCCCTATACTTATTTTGTGTATTTTGTTTCTCACTCTCCGAGAAAGATTCATAGCATATGTTCAGCCATTTTAGTCATTACGCGAGCTGGGTAGTTCTTTTCCAAAGTTCATTCTTCCTTATGTCATATTCGAGTTGTATTTTGTTTGCACATTGATGGCGTCATGTGAGATTTTTGGCGGTGTTTGAGGTGGCTTATTGCCCGACAATTTGTATTGGGTGAGATGAGGTAATTAGACCTAAAATTAGTGCAATCAAATTTATATAAGGTATATTAGAGGGGAAATGTCACTATTTAGTTCAGAATGAGGTAACGGTTCTTGTCAAGCATAGAACTCTGTGAGTTATTAATATGATCAGTGGTTATGAGTTCCTGCACATCTCTTTCATCGTTGCAGTATTGTTAGGGTTGAGACCGGGCTTATATATGTTATGAGGTATACTACGGGTGTCGGGTTAGTGAATTTGTAGTTGTGTGTTTGGAGGAAGCTACCATGGGCAAGTGAGTTATGCGATGCATTTTGTGATGTCAGCTTAGGTGCATGATCATGTGTTGGTTCAGCGTGTAAAGATTGATACGGTGCTTGTATATTAGAATCCGGTCTTGTGGAGAAATTCGGAGGTCACAATTTGGTCCTAAGGCTTGTTGGCTAAACGAAAGGGAGGATCTTCAGTTTGGCTCGAGCTAGCGTATTCACCTGGGTTGTGGTGGCACAGGTAGATGCACAAGGTGTTGAGTAGTGGTTTTACAGCAACTACGGAGCCGTTCTTGGCACGTTCGAGGACGAAAGTATGTTTAAGTGAGGGAAAATGAAATGACCCGACCGGTTATTTTGAGCTCTAGCATGTCGTTATGCGGTTTGAGGCCTTGAGTAGCTTCAATTCATGTATTATGACTTGTACATATGGTCGGAATTGAATATCAGAAAGTTCAGAGTTTCTCGAAAGGAAAATTCTCAATTCGGAAGCTTTAAGTTGGAAGAGTTGACTAAGTTTTGACTTTTGAGTAAACGATCTCGGAATCGGGATTTGAAAGTTCCAATAGGTTTGTATGATGATTTCAGACTTGGGCGTATGTTCGAGTTGAGTACCGGGTGCTCCGGGACCATTTCGATGCTTATTATGGAAAGTTGGCATTTCGAAATTTTAAGGATTTCTTAAGTTTGATATGAAGTGAATTTTTGTGTTATCGATGTCCCTTTGGAGTTCCGAGCCTTGGGATAGGTTCGTAGAGTGATTTATGACTTTTACGCAAAGTTTGACGTCATTCCGAAATATTTTGATATTATTCGGATGTGTTCGTCGATGTTTGGAAGTTTGAAAGTTTAAAGAAAGGTTTTGGCCATTGATTCATAAGATCTGATTTTGTTGATGTGATTTTAGGCCTCGAATAGGTTTGCTATATGTTTTGGAACTTATTGGTATGTTTGGATGGGGTCTTCGGGGCCTCGAGTTTGATTCGGATTGGGATCGGAGTGAGAATTTGGCCTTAAGCAATTTCTGGTGATAGCAGATCTGGTGTAACCACACTTGCGAGGATTTGGCCGCAGGTGCGGAGCCGCAGAAGTGGCCAAGGGGGTCGCAGAAACGGTTATGGGCGAGCTGGCAGTGGCCGTAGGTGCGAGACTACTTCCGTATCTACGAGCTCGCAAATGCGGGCAATGGAGCGCAGAAGCGAAGAGACGAGGAGGCTTGGTTTTTTTCGCAAATTCGAAGGTTCAAGCACAGGTGTGCTTTCGCAATTGAGAAGGGCATTCCACAGAATCAGAAAGGGTCTTGAGATAAAGAAGCGCAAAACCGGAGGAATTCCATAGAAGCGAACCCTTGTCCACAAAAGTGAAGTGTTGGAGACAGGGGGTGTTCACAAATGCGATGTTTGGACCGCACCTGCGGGAACAACAGATGCGGTCAGGTGATTGCATGCGCCGGTTCCCGCAGGTGCGATGATAGCTGGGCATAATGCTTTGTTAAGTACGTGGGTTTGGCATTCATTTCATTTCTTCCATGGGATCCGGCCTTGGAGCGATTTTGGAGCACCATTTTCATCGTCAATCATGAGGTAAGTGAATTCTATAAGTTGTGAGTTAAATATATGAATTTAGGCTTGTAAATTCATGAAATTTTGTAGAAATTGTGGAGCTTTAGAAGAAAACCTAGAATTTGATATTTCTGAATTATTACCACGAAATTGGATGTGAAATTTGGAATAAATCATATCACTACAACAAAAATGGTCTTTGACGGCAATTATATAGTGGCAATAAATTAGTTGCCGCTAATTTGTTCTCCACAGGTAGGGGTGTTCATGGTTCAGTTTGGATCGATTTTTCCCTAAAAAGAAACCAAACCAAGTAAGTCGGTTTTTCAAATATTAGAACCAAACTAAACCAATTAAGTCGGTTTTTTCTTGATTCGGTTTATGTCAGTATTTCGATTTTTCGGTTATTTGTCGGTTTTTTTTAAATATAAGACATACACTACCAAACACATATTTCGGCGACCACATTTTCAATGAAACACTATCAAATCGATTGCCCTTTGAGAAATCTATTATTTACCAAGAGGTATTGATGATAATTGAATCAAATAGTGATGAATAATTTAAGGACTCAATTAAAAATATATTATTTTTAACATGAAATAGATTCTTACACTTAACAAAAGAAAACTACCAATCAAACTAGAATATAAAGGTAAAGACCTGTACTAAAAGTGCAAACGATTAACATTTACAATAAATTTTTTGAAACTTTGTATAAAAGTATACATATATATAGGTGTAATAATAAATTTAAAATAGCGACTCCTATATTCGGTTTGGTTCGGTTTTTTTTATTAAAACCAAAACCAAACGAAATTTGATCGGTTTTTAAATTTCAAAACCAAAAACTAAACCAAACCAAAAAGTATCGATTTTTTTGGTCAGTTTGGTTTGGTTCGAGTTTTCGGATTTTTATGAACACCCCTATCCACAAGCAATTATTACCGGAATTTGAACATTTGTCGGAAAATTATGCTTGTTTAGCGGAAAATCAAAATAATGGCCAGCAAAAAATGTGCACAACAGAGTACTTATTTTAAGTTTTGACCTCCCTCCAAATATTTGGTAAAAATTAGTGTATTAATTTTTACTTCCCTCCAATTATTTCATCAATGAAATATTCCCTCTTTTGCCGCACACATATTCACCCACAATTTCCCAAAGGATTCTTCTATGCCACGGTAAGTCATAGAAGAACTAGGGTTTCTTGATTCATCTATCGCATTGTCGTCTCTCTCACTACACCAGCCAATATCACTTAGTAATCTCTCTCTACTCTCTCTATTTCTATCTCTTTTTCTTTAGGTATTAATTTCTTATTGTTGATGGCCGTTCTAAAATCTAGAAGTCACAAATAAACTTCAAAATTGATAGATACAAGTAAATATGCATTTAATTTGGTCATGGTAAGTACAATTTATATACCAATAATTACCTTCATTTTATTGTAGGAGAATTTACTTCTTTTTTCCCAGACAAAAATAAAGCAGTGATGGTGAATCATTTGTATATAGATTACAATTGGTATTTCACGGAGATTTTTGTTGGAGCAATTTTTCCTTTTATGTTACCATGGCATTATTGTAAGGTAAACTAGATTTCCTTGTGGTAATGTTTCTTTCACATAAAAGTTTTTTCTAAAAGATGGATGTTTGAAAATTAGTAAATTTCTTTCATTATAGTTTTTCAACAAAAATAATATTTTCCAGTGTAAACTTGGAATGAAATTGGTCACTTCACTGTTAAATTTGAAAAATAAATATACTCTAAATTTGTCTAATTACATAACTAAATCGTTTAAAGCAATTGTTTAACCTGTTACTAGTATTTTTTTTATATTTAGAAAATATATAGTTGTAGTTATCCTCATGTTCATATGACAAAAACATTCATTTTAACATATTAGTCAAATTCATTTAGTTTGAGTTTTAGAAATAGGAAAGTCAAGCATGTTGGAACATATGAGAGTATTACCCGAATATTGAAATGGGTACAGAGACTTATGTACTCATTTGATAGAAATTTTACGTGTTTTCTTTTGGTTATTTAGCCCAATGTGAGATTTAAACTTGTTAGTTTCATTATCTTTCAGTTTCAGGCCCTACGTGAAGTAGTTGAAGAAGAGGGAGAATGGTGGAAATTCGGATATGAGAAATCATAAGTATCACTGAGTTCTAAGAAAGTGATTCCTCCTTATTGCTGTATGAGGTACTCTGGCTTTTCTATAAGCTTATGCTTATATGTCCAAATGACTGTTAAATCTATTTATCGGTAATAAACCAAGTCTATATTCTCTCACATCTAAAAGTATGCATAGTAATTTTAGTTATAAGATGATTTGGTTAGAATACTTTTCACTTGGTTGACTTCGGTTGAATTAGTTTCAAGTATCATGGATGCAGCTATCAAGCCTGTGTACAAGGTTTTGCAGATATTCTTTTAGTAAATGTTATCGATCTATCTTACTATGAAGTGGCAGATCTGGAACTGCTTGAAAAAACGAACTTTGTCTGTCCCTATTTATGTGATGCACTTTCCTTTTTAGTTTGTATAAAAAAGAATGATACCTTATAATATTTAGAAATAATTTAATTTTAAACCTACCATTTTACCCTTAATGAGATGATATATAGCCACACAAATATCTATGACATATTTTATACTACAAATTTCGGAAGTCTTTCTTTCTCAAACTTCGTGCCTAGTCAAAGTGCATCACATAAACTAGGATGGAGGAGTAATTTATTATATCGTATGTCTAATTATATTATTTTGTTGAAGAATTCCTCAATTGAAAAGGATTAACATAATTTTGCTAATGTTTGCAGGATGTTAAGTTGCTTTTCAGTTACATTACTATTTGCATTTTCCTAAGTTATCGTACATTTTATGTGCTTTTGGTTATCTTTGGTTCGTGCGCATATGAGTCCTGTGTGACAAGAAAGTACCACCGAAACTTAAAGGAAGACACTGTCACTTGGAAGTAACATAAGAATTAATAATTTCATCATGAATTCCTTTTAAGCTTTACTACTAATATCAGAGGTGAGAACAAGATAAATTTTTCATGAAAATTCAGTGAATATGTTGCATTCTTGTCTTTCTGTGGTAAGATATGAAAGGATTAATTTAGCTTTGCTTAAGTAAGTAGTTAGTAAATATGTTGCATTCTTGTCTTTTGTGGTAAGATATGAAAGGAATAATTCAGCTTTATTTTTATACTGACTTAGTACCATCTTGGTAGTAGGATATTATTAATTAATTACCTTTACTTATCAATTTTAGTTTGGTGGTTAGCTATTTTGATCATTCTCCATATGTGTGATGAGATTCAATCTTGTTTTGCTCTTCCATCAGATTGACTTTTTCTGCTAGTAAATATGTTTTCATGACCTGAAAACCGTGTTTGTGAAGTTGCAGTTTATTGATCTTGTAGTATATTCAATAGATATATAGCATCTGCTTGCTACTAAGAAACAATTAATATTTAATTCATAGCAAGTTGAACTTGATGTATTTGATTTGTGAAGTTTTCATTTGTTAGATAATATTCATACTGAAGATCATGACAATACACTTTGTCTGCAGATCATGGACGTGCAAGCCTAGATAAATCACAAAAAATATTGATGCAACTAACGCAAGGGATCATGGGAACTTCAATGTCATGACCAAATTCTCTTTTAGTGAACAAATTGTCACTCTTTTATTAATATTTCACTGAACCATAGTCATATTTAGTATGCTAATTGTTCATTTATGAATTTCAGATCTGGTTTCAAAAATGCATTAATAGCATGCACAAAACTTGTATCATGTTGGTGCAATTTGAGAAGTTGATCTAGTGAAATGTAGCTCATTATCCTGGTGCATAATAAGGTTTGATCTGGTGCAATCTAGCCCATCATTTCGGTTTACAAATGGATCTTTAAGCTTGTGCAAGTACGTGTGGCACATATGGAAAACTTCCATATGATCAAGGAATGAAGAAATTTGTTAGACGTGAAAATGTATTGGATTCAAATTATTTTCCTCCTCTTATGTATTTACACTTTCAAACGATAAATTAGCAGTTGTATTTGTTTTGAATGTAATGAAATACATTTTGCTTCAATGGATTTGACATTAGCATGTTTTATTTTATAATTTTTTTTGTCAACTATAGAAAAGCTATTAAGGATATCAATAAAGAAAAGTTTAAGAGTAGTATTAGTCACCATTACAACTGCCTAAAATAATTCCTCTTTCACATCAATTAATTGATCTTTAGCGGCAATAATAAATGCCACTAAATGTATAAGCTAGCATATATTTTAGGCAGATTTAGTGACTATTGGAATTGCCCGTAAATAGTTGCCATTAAAAATAATGACCTTTAGCAACAATAAATGGTGTCTTTACCAACAATTGGTAAAATTGCCGCTAAAATCTTTAGCGATGCTGGATACAACGGCAAAACATCAATAGCTGGTAATGGTATTAGCGGCAATTATTATTGCCGCTAAAAAGAAAATAAATTGCCGCTAAAGATCATTTTTGTTGTAGCATATATTTGAGTTCGTAACATTATGGGTAAAGTTTATCTTCGACAATTTTCAGAACCTGGGCATGTGGGCCCGATGGTTGACTTTGTTGACTTTTCAAGCGGAGTTAAGAATTGTTATAAATTAATTAATTATTATATTGGAGTATATTTTTATTGGTTTTCATGATTGTTTGACTAGTTTTGGATTTATGGGCATTTGGTTTGAAGTGTTAGAGAGGCATTGGAGCCAGTTATGGAACTTCGGAGCAAGGTAAGTCTCCTGCCTAACCTTGTGAGGGGAAATTACCTCGTAGGTGTTATTCTTGTTATATACTACATGTTGTGGGAGTTGCGCACGTATGAAGTGACGGGTGTCCGTGTGCATGCTAGAATTCCTGATTATGTTCGGGTAGATTAGGATTCTTGTCATGCTTTATTTGTACTAGTTGAGTTATTCTTGCCTGCTTAGTTACTTGATTTCGCATTACGACCTGAGACTAGGCTTGCGTAGAGTGATGGGCTCGCTATTGTAAGAGATTTGATGAGCTACTTGATTAGCCGCGGAATAATTGTGCTTCCCTTACGAATTTCTCTCGTGTTGTGCGTTTTCATCGAAAAGCTTCTTTAAATTTCATAACTCACACGTATATTCGAGTGGGGTCAAGGACCCGTTAAAGTATCATAATCTTATTGGATCGGTCGTTTTCCTTGGCAGGATATTGTAACACACTCTTATGGGATCGGGCCGTTCGCGTCGGCAATATCATATTCTTATAGGATCGGGCAGTTCGCCTTAGCAGAATCATGTATCACACTCTTACGGATCGGGCTGTTCGCCTCGGCAAAATCGTGCGTAATATTTGAGAAGAAGCCAGTGTATCCGTGAATTTTCCTGATTTGAGTTGTGACGACCTATCTGGTAGGGACTATTTTATATATACTCTAGTTGAGGAGGTAACCGATAATTGAGAGCTTGTGTGCTACTGTTCAGAGAAGGATCCTACAACGTACCTATATTTGTTTACATTATTTATTTATCATGTCTCATACTTGTTTAATTTCTACTTTACTTGATATATCGGACCACTAGTAAGTGTTGATGTCGACCCCTCGTCATTACTTCTCCGGGGTTAGGCTAGATACTTATTGGGTATGCGTTAATTTATGTACTTATGCTACGCTTCTGTACTTATTGTGCATGTATATATTTCTTATAGTCTTTTGGATGGAAAGGCACATCTATTGCGAGGACTTTACGGTGAGCTACATCCCATATTACGATCCGCAGCATACGGAGTCTCCATTAGAGTTATTTATATTTTCCTTTCTAACTTGTATCTCAGATAGATGCAATATTATTGTACCTTCTAGCAGATGTTCATGCAGTTGTGACACCGGATTTTGGGGGTTGTTCTAGAAATTATTTATAGATTGTTTTATATTGACACACTTTTACTTTATATTTTAATTAAACTGTACGTGACTCTGGATTATTTTTAATGCATTGGCCTCTCTATCCAATAAAGATTCACGGCCTATAGTGGATTTTGGATCGTGATAGAACGAATGGGCGGTTGATGCATATATAGCAAGGGTGCCAAAAGGGGTCCAAACCCCTTTGATCCGTCCAATCCGCCCGAGTTTTAATGGGTTGGGCATGAGCTACTTTAATAATGGACTAAGTTTGGGTACAACCCAATTAAACCCATTTATTTTTAGTAGCCCAAATCAGCCCATGATTTCAGCTCAAACTGACCCATGAATAGCAATTGCCCTTTAAAGCTTCTACGAGAGTGTTTGGTTGGTGAGTGAAAAACTATAGTGTTTGGTTAGAGAGTCGAAAATATTTTTTAGGAAAATAATTTTATATGCTACTCTCCTCAATCCCCTCCACCCAAATCCTCATGTTTCTAGCCCCTTCTCCTCCCCCTCCTATATCCAACGTTTTCAGGACTCTATTTTTCTTCAACAATTCAATTATTCTTTTAGAAATTCTCAAAAACCCACTAATGTGCTGCTTTATTTTTACAAAAGAACAACGTTGAAATTTGAGCTTCATAACTAGAAAGAAAATACTATTTTTCTTGTTGAAACAATATAAAAGTACTTTTTCTACAACATGAAAAGAAAGTACCATTTTTGTTAAAATAAAAGAAAATATTTTTTCTACGACATAAAAAGAAAGTACCCATTTTGTGAAAAAGAAAATAGCTTTTTATATTATGAAAATAAAGTACTTATTTATTGAAATGAAAGAAAATATGTTTTTCACATCATAAAAAGAAAATACTCATTTTGTTGAAATGAAAAAGAAAATAATTTATCTACAATATGAAAAGAAAGTAATATAAATAATATTTCTATTTCGGGTGGGGGTGGGGGTGGGAGGTGGGTTGAAGGTGGGTAGGAAGTACTATTTTTTTATTATTCTGATCTTTGTTAGTATTATAAGATAAAGAACTATCAAATAAAGTTCTAAAATTGAATTGAGAAAAGAAATCATTAGGCATGAATTGATATTTATTCGAAAACATAAGACACGAAGCAACAGGAAAAAAGAAAATAAAAATTCACCATCATAAACCATTCCATAACGATATTTATGAAAAACAAAAATAAAAATCATTGTTATATATGTGGGAATATTTTATATATACTTGTTTAAAAGTTGAGAATATTGCAATGATTTGGGTTACAACCACTCATTGTTTAGCCCATCTTGACCCATCTTATGTTCCGGGGTGGCTCAAGTATATTCGCGGCCTAAAGCCAAAGTTTAATGTGAGGCCTAAATTTTTAAAAGAAAGTTATACGATATGTTTTTATTTAAAGTCTATTTTTCTAGATTTTTGAGATACAAAATTGTTAATAATCTTTTTTATAATCAATCTTCCCTAATAATTCATTTTTAATTGATAATATAGCCAACTCAATTAATCTTTCTTGAGATATTTTAATTTTAAATAAGATTTTGTCGAGCAATAGAAGTATAGTACTATTAGAAGCTTAAATTTCTTGGAGAAAGAACGTGAGTAAGAATATTAAAGAGAAAGACAACAAATATATTGGGTTTTCTGAAATATGAAGAGATCGAGAAAAGAAAGATTGACTTGGACAAATTAAGAAAGGAAGAGTAAATTTTTTACACGTTATCTAAAGAGGAGTAAGAAGTGAAAAATTAAAACTTTGGAAAAACTATTCATCCACTCTTGTTTAAGTAAGTCAAATTATTACATTATTTATGTATCTAAAGAGTTTTTTTCCTTTTATATTAAAAACTCTACTTTTGTATTAATAGTACTAAATATTATTTTTTAAATACCTATAAACCTATTATTTTAAAAAAAAAATAGGGCAGAGTTGTAAGGCACTAGCCTTACTACTCAACACATTAGAGTCGGCCTTGCTTATGTTAACCCAAGCGAACTTTAGGCAGAGTTGGGCAATGACTCATTTAATGAGTCAGTCCATCTTGACCAACCCAAATCACTACATAAAAGGGAAGATTTTTACCTTTTTTAGAATTGTACTTCGGGGAAAATTTCCCTACTATATAAAAGGGAAGTCGATTATTCATTAAACACATTGTAATACGCATACAAAGGCAATATACATCTATTTTTCCCTATTTCTAAAGCATTGTTCCAAGCCTTTGTTTTGGTTCATAAGTTCTTCATAAACATTGGTTCGAAATCGAAGGCGAGCTTCTCGTTAAGCCTTTAACCGAGCTCGGATTCATTATCATTATTGGCTTGGATATTTATTCTAATTTGTATGTGCTTACCTTATGTTATTAATCATTTGTATTAAACGGTTCCATAAATTCTTAAAATCGCGTACAAATTCAATTGTTATCTATTTTTAGGGGTAAACACTGCTGTTCTTTTTCTGACTGTGAACAACTGATTGAACCAAGTAGGGGGGAAAACTTGGGAATGAGATAGAAAAAGATGGAACGTTTTTTGGCTAATAATGATTTTCAGTGATCAATACTTAACCTATAGTTTAATCACCATGTAAATATAATATGGATCACTTGTCTNGGTGGGGGAAGGGGGGTTGATGAGAGATTATTCACTCATACTGAGAGAAAATTTGATTTTGTAGTAGATGAGAGATTGTTCACTCATACTGAGAGAAAATTTGATTTAGAAAATATAATATGGATCACTTGTCTATCTACTTTCCTTTTTATTTTGGGGTCTGGTCAACAAGGGTCACTTGCTGGAGATATTTTTTTTTGTTTTTTTTGGGGGGTGGGGGTGGGGGAAGAGGGGTAGATGAGAGATTGTTCACGCATACCGAGAGAAAATTTGATTTTGTAGTCAATTATAAATGTTATTTTAATTATATTAATTTTTATAGGAGTAAGTCAAATGTAAATTTCTCTTATAAAATTATTTTTTTATTTATAGGAGTAAAATTAGTTTTTATTCTTCCCCCTCGTCTTCTTCCTCTTCTTTCCCGTCTTCTTCTTCCCACTCTTTTTAAGTCGGGTGCCTATT